AACTAAAAAGATCCCAAAAATTTTAAAAATCATATATAAAATAAGTTAAATTTCATTATGATCTGATTTCATTATGATCTGCCACAAGAATTTGTCTATAAAACTACTTTAGACATTCTACAGTCTAGGATGTTTCTAAATTTGGTATATAAAGATCACATCTTTTTTAGCAAAGATCTTCAAAAAGATGATTCTAAATATTTCTACAAGACTGAATTTGTACTAATTAGCATTTGTGTATTTTATTGTGAGACAACTATATTTTTAAGCTCTGTGGATCCCTGTAGACCTCTCAACTGTATGCTTTACCAAGGTTTTCTATACTAATTATTTTGAAATTTTTTGTTACATAATATTTTTTTGAGCATAACAAAATACTATTGCAATACTATAATTTATACAGAAAATCAATTCTTGAAAATTCTTTTACTATGTGGATAATCAATTTCTAAATTTAAAAAATACCAGACTAATCTAGCAAAAAAAATTCTTTACTAAATTTTACATATATCTAACACCTAACTAAAATCCCAGGCCTCTCTCTAACATTAAAGTAAAGGAAATAAATTTTAATTTTGTCTTATTGTTATTAACTAATTTCACATCAGTGATATTACTGCTGTTTATAGTTAATTAAATTCTTTACTAATATATAAAAAAATTAATTTTTTTAAAGAAATTTATATATTAGTAAAACATTTTTTAAAGATTTCTCAAAAACTATTAGACTAATTTTAATAATATTTTTATTACTATTAGATATGTTTTGATAAGCTTTACAACTTTATTAAAAGCCTAAAGTAATTTATTTAGTAAAAAAAGTTTTATATAGAAGTGCTCTATATTTACTATTTAAACAATTTATATATAATTTATATATAAATCTTGTATAACCTGCATCACTTAGCTCTTCAGATGACTGATAAATTATTTATTAAAAAAATAATTTAAGAGTAGTGTTTTTTAAAATTATTGGCAATTTTTTAAATTAGTTTTTTGAAAAAAATTAACTTTTTTTAAATTAACTTTTTAATTAGAATTATAATTCAAATCATCTATGGTAATGATCACTATGTTTTACGATAATATCATGTGTAATATTAAATTAAATAAATAAAATTTTGATCTGATCGTGATTTAAATTTTTATTTTTCTTTTAGAACTTTTAGAATCGTCATTCCTAGAGTTGTCATTTGTTTCTGAAGCAGTTGTTTGTTTTTGAATTCATAGTTGCCCCTGGAGCTATTGCTGGTCCCTGGAGTCCATTTGTTTTAAGTCATTATTTGTTACTAGAGTCGTCGTTTGTCTTGGAGTTATTGTTTGTCTTGGAGTCATTAGTTGTTTCTGAGATTGCCATTTGTCATAAAGTAGTCATTTTGAACTGTTGTTTGTTTTGAAGTTATCATTATAAGCCATCATTTATCTTAGAATCATCTATTGTTTGTCACAGAGTCATCATTGCTGTTAAATTTTTACTGAAATACTTGGTTGTAGAGATGTGCGAATGCATGTTTTTTTGGCTCTGCATTGCATAATGCAACATAATGCTAGCATGTGACATTATGCAATTATGGTGTTCTACCAAAATCAAGAAGACGATTCATATCAATCTTTCTTATCTTTAGACAGAAGCTTACTATTTTATAGTATTTTCAAACCTCATATTAGTTAGCTTGCTTTATATAGATAGAAAATCACTAACTGATGCTACATATCACATAGTATTACATATGATATAAAATATAATATTTTAGAATTTTGTTAACTTACGCACTAGGCGAAATCACCTAGTCATGTGATATAGATTTTAACTAATAATATTGTGATCATATATACTATATAAATTGAATTTTGCTAACTTATGCACTAGGTGAAATTGCCTAGTCATATGATATAGGTTTTAACCAATAATATTGTGATCATCTATACTATATAAATTATATAGAATTACCACTTACATATTTTAAGCATAAATAATATTAAGTAATTTATACATATTATATACAGTATAATTTAGCAATAAAGAAACAGATTCTTATATTCTGTATTTTAATAATAGTAAAGTATATTCTAATCTAATTTAATACAAAGACTAATTCTAATCTAACAGAAATTTCAAATTTTAAATTGATAATACTAGAATTCTAATTTATCTAATTTGCATAATTAAATTTATAAAGATTGTTGAATATAAAGCTTTCTTATTAAATACATGATAGTTTGGTAAGCAGTATTATACGTTATAGTTATTGTATAGATATCTGGGTGTAACTAATTACACACGGGTTATATTCAAGCCACGTGGCCAAAGGCCACATGGTTTGGATATAACCCATATGTAATTAGTTACACCCAGATATTCATATAATAACTATATTATCGTAAGAGTCTGACATAACAATCCTGTGTATAACTAAATTAAAAGCATAATAAAGTATATATAGTATAATAATCAATTTATGTAAAATTAAATTTTAGTTGGATCAGTGATGTAATCACTAATTAAATAAATATAAATATAAATTATCTGCGCGCAGTAATTTTAAAGTAACTCTTTCTTATAATGTCGAATAGAACCTTAACAACCAATGACCCTGAAGCACAATGATTTATAAATCTATCTTACGTTACAAATACAGAAAAAAACATATCCAAATGACTTTGCCATGTTGATCGATTCAGAAAAGAAAAAAACATCGTAAAAACCTTAGATAAATTTGATAATAAAGCAGAACTTGATATATTTATTAGTTCGTTTATTGGTTGGCTCTCTAAAAAAAATGGAAGTTCATTCAAAGTCAAGTCAGTACACAACTGCTACTCTGCATTAGTAAGACATCTTTGTGAAAATTCAAGAATTGAAGGAGGCGTTCGAATCTGGGATAAATACTCTTTCCCTAAGTCATTATGTTGCTTAGATGGAAAAATAAAATCATTACAGGATGACGGCTATGGTGATACAGATAAAAGTGACCCATTGATATCGGATGAAATTATTTTATGTTTAAACCATAATTACTTATCAATTGAAAATAATGAAGAGCTGATTCGGCATGCTTTTTTCTGGTTATCAATTCTTTGTGGATTACATGGTAGCGATACTTACAAACTAGAATTTCAAGATCTTAAAAGGCAAGAAGACGGTGGATTATAATTGAGGTTTCGGCAAAAAAAGAATAATTAGGGTGGGGTGCTGTATAGACAAAGATATGGACATACAGGAACACAAACTATTTCAATACCACCTGATATGAAGGATAATCACTTTACGCCAATTGCAGATCTTCTTCTTTATCTGTCAAAGAGACCATCTAAATGTGTTGCCACTGATTCTTTATTTTTACAAACGACTAGAAAGCAAACAGGTATATATATGTATTATATAAACTTTATTTTTTTGTTACTATACTAAAAATGTATTTATTGTTTTAGATATAACTAATAAAATTTGGTACAAACCTATTGGCATGGACGCAAATAAATTGAAAGCAATGTTACAACAAATTGCTATTAATACGGGAATAAACCTTGATGGCAAGTGAAAAATTACTAATCATAGTGCTCGTCGTACAGCTATAATGATATTCAAAGCATCTGATGTTTCAGAAGATGAAGCAATGGTATTTTCAGGACACCGATTTCGAGAAGGCATCTGATCTTACAGTAATCCAACTGATGATCAGCGTTTGTCATTTACAGCATTACTAATTCCTTATACAGCATATAATGAGGATCTCGAGTCTTATTATTTTTTCCCTGGCAATTCTTATCATTATATTAATTTTGAATCTGATGACTATGAAGGTATTATTAGTATAACATTTAAAATTTTTTTTAAATAATTAATTTAAAATTATTTATTTTTAGATAATGATAACGAGATGGAAATTCAAAGTCTTGGTGCTAATACTACGTTGAACTCTAGTTCTAATATTAGTGCAACAAACTCAAGTTCTAACACTATTTCAAACTTAAGTTCCAACAATATATCAAATACAAGCTCCAACAATATGTCAAATGCAAGCTCCAACAATATGTCGAATACATCCACCAACACTATGTTGAATGCAAGCCTCAACACTATGTCAAATATAAGCTCCAACATTTTACCAAATACAAACTCCAATACTGTGTTAAATGCAAACTCCAATATTAAATCAAATTCAAGTCAATCGAAAATTTCAAGTATTTATATGTTATTTTTAAATTAATTGTGTATTAACTGTATTTAATAGTTTTTTTTTTTAGATAAAAACACTCTTTTTAAAAAACATACATTTTCAAATTTGAATCTAAAACTTACAGTTCCTTTTAAAGTTCCACAAATTTACAAACAAAATCAACAAACAATGCCAGTAAAAAATAAAGAACAAATAGAAGAAAATGAAACAAGATGTGCAAATAATAATAGTAATGAACAAATGCCAATTATACATAGTAAAGAACGAGAAGTGTTACAACAAATTACGAATAATATTATTATTCAAATCCCCGATACTAGCAAGCCGATTGATATTAATTTGAAAATTTCCTTCAACAATTAATTTAAGTGTAATACTGTAGTATTTTAATTATTATACAATAAATAGTGCATTCTGCAATTGACAATTTAAAAAAGTATTTGCTTTCGTCTGGCAGTTACAATTTAAAGTATTTAAATTAATGTTTTATACAATATGTAATTACATTTTTAAAAGTATCAATTTTGCTTATTCGCACGGATCTATATGAAAATCATATGAATTTAAAAATCACATGATTTTCATATAGACCCATGCAATAAGTAACCGAAAAAAGCACGGGTTATTACATAAGACCCGTACGATAAATTGTTGTATTTTACATATTTGAATATCGAGGAGCATAGTGTCCAGCTTGTTTATATTTTTGGCAATATCTCTTATACTTTTGGTTATTTTGAATTGCTAAGTTATTATTTTTAGCTTTTTGATGAGCTGAATTTGTTATCTCTTTTAAGGTTCTTGCCTTTTTGTTTAAACCTACTTCACCTTCTGATTTATATCTTTTAGGTTATCGTCCTTTATGCTGTACCCATATTGGGTCACTAATAATGTTATTATTATTTCTTGAGTACTTAAGAGCTCCTCTTTCATTTTATTAATAAATTTATCAAGCTGATTAACAAGTTTATTCATTTTATCTATATGAATAGTATAATCTAATGCTTTTTTTGCATATCCTATACCAAATCCAAACTGTTGTCTAGGATCATGTAATTGCACAATATTAGGCATTTGCCTAATGTTTGTAAGATGATGAAGTAATAGTTGATCCAAAATCAGTTCAGTTTAATTTGTATTAATCTGATAGGTTGATACTAAAGAAAGTTCTTGTTGACTAATTTGAAATTTTTTATTGTTATACCAACATTGCAGAATAAGCATAATATGAAACTTAGCATTAACTGAATAAGACATTACTTGAAAAAAATGTCTGTATATAATCCCACGATTGATAAGCCAAAGACATGTGCACAAATGTGACCCATCATCCAATATAATAACATATTGGGGAACTGATTGCTGACTACAATGTCTACATACTTTTCATACTTTTTATACATTATGTAATGCTACATTTTTGAATAATAAAGAAAAAAGAGATTGTGGCTGATCATAATCATCTTTTCTCGCATAATCACTTTGATAAAAATCATCTATTGTCTAAAAAATAGACAGTTTTATTAATTTTTAATACAAATATGCTTTTTCTAATCTAATTTTTTAAATCTAATAATTATCTCTAATAAAAACATCCAATTGTCAATTAATACAACATCATAACAAATAGATCGTGCTATTTGATTTCGCTATTTTTGGTGTATTTGCAGTGTTAAATACTTTTGTAATACTCTATTTAATTCTAAAAAATATTCATCAATAATTGATGATAAACCTCTGGTTGAGATTTCATTTCGATATTCACTCAATATTGCATTTTTTGATTGGTTATCAAATACTGACTAAACTTCTTCAACTACACTAGTTAGACGCAATGTTCAATTAAGTTTTTCTTTAATTATTTTATTAGAAACCTCAGCACACTGGGAACTTTGTATTCCTGCAGTAAAATTTTGACTAATGCTATAACTGGCCCAACTTGTTTTGCAAGGATACAAAGCTCTTACTAAATACTGGTAGCAATTAGGATATTTATTAATTAAAGCATTCCATTCGACTTCAAACTGGTTATGGTATAAAGAATTGTGCATTTTAAAAAATTTAGCCCAAATCCTCAAATTGACTATGCAATATCTTTTTAAGATGTTTTTTTTAAATTTAAATCAATGTGAAATATACATTGAAGATGGCAAGTGTTAAGATAATTATATATTTCTAACAGCAGACAATAAAGCCAGATCAGAATTTGAATACAATACTATTGATGTGATATTGCAAGAATTTTTTAGCTCTTGTAATACCCAAGAAAATGTCTCTTCAGTCTCATCTTCTAGAATTGCTGCTGTTACTATAAAGTTTTTAAAATTATTATCAACTGCCATAACTAACATCAAAATTATATTAAATTAATTTGTTTTTGAAGTTGTATCAACAATTACGACATCATGGTACCTTTCATATACGCAAACTTGGTCCAGAGACATCCAAAATAATGAATTAAGTCTTCTTTTATCAGGATCAAAGTGAGGTTTTACTATCCATGAAGGATCAATATTCTTTTTCGGATATAAATCATTAAGTATTTGACAAGCATCACTATGAATAGGTTTTGTTTGTTTTTTAAACTTCTGGATTGCATTGCTTAAATCTTTTTTATTAATTGTTTGATCGGAAAAAGATGCTGTAAGTAAATTGTATTGGTTAGGTATTCCTAACCTTCCTTGAATTGTCCAAAGCTTGACTTTCTCAAGCATCTCGTCAGTAAGCCATCAAAATCATAGTGCTATTTCTTGAATATGAGGGTTCAGCAGGTGTTTATGATTACTAACAACAGTATTAATTTGAACACCATTGGCTTTTTTTAGAAAAGACAAATTGATATGCCAGGAGCATCCAATCATTTCTGAATCTTTATTTCTTCTATTTTCTTCTAAATTAACCTTTTCTGCGTCATATATACGTGAATAAGAACATTCATACATTCACTGTCTTATTACCAAGTTATCACTAGATCTATCATACGTCTACCTTTTTGAAAAGAAAATCCTTCCTGCTTTGCAAAGTCATTAATATAGACTTCAGCAATTTTTCAAGTATTAAACACCATTCCCTTTTTCAATTCTAGTAGCATAATTTGATTGTCTTCTTCCTCAATATTATCTAGCTCTACATCATCATCTTTACTATTAAAATAGCTTGATTCTTCTTTCTAAATTTTATCTTCTGCCTTATTTAGTTGAATTTCTTCACTTAAATTAGAATATGATACATCAAGAGATGCTGTTGTGTCATGGTTCGATATATCAGAAGATGCCATTGTATTAAATAGAAGAAATAAAGATTCAGAAATGATTGGATGCTCCTGGCATATCAATTTGTCTTTTC